AAAAAAAAAAAAAAAAAAGTCTGCAAGATGGATTTAGGTTAGATCTCAAGGCCATTCACACAGACGGATTGTGGAAGTTCCTTTGCTAGGGTCTTTTTGAATAGAGCCGCTCCTCCTGGACTATTCAGTGGTCCTATGTGGAGTCAGGGGAGAGACAGGATGCGCTCTGAAAGCTCCTTCCTGCCTAGAGGAGTGTATATGTGTGAACTGAGGAGAGGACAATGCTGATTTACGCTTGAGGCCAGTGAGGGGTGGCAGTGACAGTTCCTGCCTGCCAAGTGGGGAAAGCAAGGGGAGGCCAGGGCAGGCTTCCTGAAGATGGTGGTCGCTCCTCATTCCCCTCTGCTCCCCATTCCTTTGCAGCTGGAAGGTCAGTGCACAGCCCTGCATCATGACAAGCATGAGACCAAGGCTGAGAATAACAAGCTGAAACTCACTAACCAGGAGCTGGCCCGGGAGCTGGAGCGGACCTCCCAGGAGCTCCAGGAAGCTCAGTGGCAGCTGGAAAGCCTCCAGCAAGAGGCCTGCAAACTCCACGAGGAGAAGGAGATGTGAGTCCAGCCTTTGTCCACTCCTCTGCTGTCCTCTAGCACCACCCCCTGCTATGGGCATGTCCCCTCACCGCTCATGTCTCCTTGCCTGTGAAATGTGGATTTGGGCTTCTTCTTCCCTGAGACCCTTCTAACATTCTTCTAGGATTCTGACACTATGAAGTAGACCAGTTCTGTGTCCAGCATTGCCTAGGATTGACAAGAAACGTACAGCCCTGTTCTCAGAAGATACATTCTGTGATTAGAAAGACATGCTATTCCACAAACAAATATAAGGCAGTCTGTGGGTGAATGCTGAGTGAGCAGACAGACCCTAGGTGACTGTGGTCATGTAGAGACAAGGGAACCAGGGAGGAAGGCTTCTGGGATCAGCATATGATCTGACGGAGCATGTGTCGCTGCCCTGGACCCTCCTCTGCATCTCTGCCCATTTTTTTCCACTATGTTCCTCAGATTCAGCTGTGTGGGCCCAGTGGGGAAAACTCCACATCTCTTAGGGCCCGACCTGCAAGTAGCATCCAGCCATGAGGGCTTACTAGGCGGAGGCGCACCTGCGGCCAGATCAAGCCTGGGTCTGCCCCCTAAGCTGAAGTCCCTGAAGAGTCAGTCATTTATCTCGTCTTGAGAGTCACAGGTTTTAGAACAAATGTACTACTCTGAGGCTCAGGGCAGAGGAATCTCATTTGTTTATTTGTACATTCATTTATCTATGTAGTCAATGACTTATTCATTCGGCAAACATTTATTCTGTGCTAGGTACCGTGCTGGGCATTCACTATTTCTCACTTATGTTGATAATTTGACGTCTTCTCATTTGATCTTTAAATCATCCTGGTGTGGCAGGTTCTGTTATTACGAACTGTAATTTATCGAGGAGGAAACTGAGGTTCAGAGGTTTAAGTAACTGTCCTAAGATGCTGAGTTAGACCCATCTCGCCAATTTTCCCTAGAGAACAACAAGCCTGCAGAAAATATTTTAACAAAAGTAGGACAGGCTATCATTTACACACATTTGTTCGTGCGCTCTTCATTCATTCATTTATTCTGAAAAACGTAATTGTGTGTCTGATCCTGAAAGGTACCAGGTAGCACTGAAAGTCTAATTTCAGGGCAGCGGGCAGTGATACTTACCAGAACATGTTTTATAGATGTTAGCTCCCCTTGCTCAAAACACTGCTGGCAGGATTTTGGTCCATAGGCTTAAATAAAACTGTTCTGCTTTTTTGATGTGTGGAATCCTGTACCATTTGGCACTAATTGCCTGGTAAAAGGGGTAAAAGGAAGGAGATGTGTTTGGGCTGATAATTTCACCCTAGTAAGGTGTCTCCAGTTAAAAAACCAAAACAAAAAAAAAAACCTCCCAGGTAGCTGACTTAAAACATGCCCCTCCATTTCAATTCTTGGATGACCAATTGTGGACGGACAATATATTTCTCTGTGAACAAGCAAAATCAGTTCCTCCTCATTGAGAACAGGTCAACACGGTACAGGCATTTAGCTTTACAAACAGAATTAAGGATTCAGGCTCTTGAAATTCAATCAAGCTCTAAAAGCAACAGACATCTGAAGGCACAAGCATTAGAACAGCAAATGGAAATAAACACCCAGTGCTGGAGTATCACAACACAGCATGAGGATTCAAAGCTTTCTGAAGTCTTATCTTAATTAACCAAGCCAGAGACACAATCTCTGGAAGCTGGGAATTGAAAAAAAGAGAGGGAGGAAAGGAGGGGTGGGAAGAAGAGAGAAATATGACTCCAGAACCTTCTCAACTTGTTTTCAAGAAGCTTGCAGTTTCTTGTGCAGCCAGGGAGCATGCAGGGGCCCAGAGAGCATGTCCCATTCAGGGAGGGCAGGAGAGCAGTGCCGCACGAGGCTTCGCTTGTTCTCCACAGAGTGGGGTTGCAGACCGGCAGATGGAGAGGACTTTGATGCTCTGGTTCACCTCCTTCATTTTATGCATGAGGAAACTGAGGCTCAGAGAGGTGTGACCGGCCCAAAGTCACACAGCTGGTGAGTGCCGGGCAGCAGGGACAGAGCCCAGTTCTCCTGACAGTCCTGTGCTTTCTGACAGGATCTTGTTGCTCCGTGCTGCCACAGAGCAGCTGCGGGGGGGAAAGGGTGGAGCTGGGAGGGAAACAAGCTTAGTCACTGATCAGCAAGAATTCTGAACAGGCAAAATTAATTTTCCTGTTCTCTGAAGATGCTCAAGGTAACAGAAGTAGATTTTAAAACAAGATAAAGAAAGAACTATCAAACAGAGAGATGATGTAAAGATAAAGGTCAGCTGAGAAGCAGCAACGCTCTGTTTATTTTTTAATTAGCTTTTATTTGATAAGTGGTTATGACAAGGCACAAAATTCAAAAGGCACAAAAGTTTATATGCTCAAAAGGAAGTGTGCCTCCCTGACGTGACCCCAGTATGCAGTCATCAGAGCCACTGATCATGGTTTCTTGTAGATCCTTTCAGAGTATGCTGTGTATATGCAGGCACAGACACGTATGTGTGCACACACGCGCACACACACACACACACACACACACTTTTCCTTTACAAAACAGTAGCACATTAAGCATACTATTCTGCATATGCATTGCATTTTTCACTTGACAGTATGTCTTGTGAAGTGCTCCAGAGCTCATCCCTCCCCTCAAACAAGTTCAGCAGCTGTTCCCTAAGGGTAGCCAGAGACATCTCACCAATTACCACCCCAGACCACAGGTTCTTTCCCTTTCCGTTTACATATTACCTATGTAGAGACTTTTAGAATCTCTAGGTTAGAAGGACTTTAGAGGTCATTTAGCCAAATATCTAAGTGCCCTTTTTTTTTCAGAAGTGCCTTTTTGTTGACACAAAAATATATTTCTGAATATATGTGTGTATATATGTATGTACAAATATCAAGCAGATATATGTTTACTAGAGAAATAGATACAGCACATATATTCACATGTATTTGTAATACATATGTGTGCATCTAGGTGTGTGTTTATATAGCTCCACTGGTCACTGGTGCTGTGTATGCAGAGCCAGAGAAGACTTAGAATTTGGGAACTGGCTATTTGGTAAAGCACTGTGAGAACCCAGACCTGAAGTCCCTAGTGAATGATTTTCCTGAGCAGAGGAAAAGCTGTGTGCTCCTGGCCACCCCTGGAGGGAGTCAAGACCCAGGGTGGTGTGCTGGAGCCCTAAAGCACAGCACCAGGATCTTCAGCTCCAGGGCCTAGAGTCAGGCCCTGGCAGCTCTGCTCACAGAGCACTCATCAGAGCACAGTCCCAGACAGGGGCTTGCAGACCCAGTTTGGATAATGGGAAACACATTATTTTCCTTCAAGTTGAAATTAAATATAATTGGTAATAAAATGTCGGGAATTTGCATCTCTGCGGGAGCCAGAAAAGGTTTCTTGCTTAATTAGAATTGTCTGAATTGAACTTAGAATTTCATTCAGCCTGTTATTGCTGTAAATTGACTTTAAAATTATTCTATAAAGAAGGGGGGAAAGAAACAGTGTGCTTAAGGAATCAGGTTTTTAGGAGCTTGGCAGGAGAGTCCTGTGGACCAGCGTGTTGGTGCTGTTTCTGCCAGCTCAGTAATGATATTGATGGGGTGGCAGAGGGGTCGTGTCCAGCACAGTGTGTATACAGCCTGGCATCCCTGACAGCCCATGGAAAGTGATACCTGTATCAGCTTGCAAGATGTTTGCCACACAAAAATATGTGCTGCAGTTTGGAAATGTGGACCCTTGTAGTAAGATCAGAGGGGGTTTAAAAAATGTCTAAAGCATGGTATAGAATACAAAGGGAAAAATGAAGACAGAATTGTGAAATTAAGCCAGCTTCCCAGTGTCACCTACTTTCTTATTTTTTTCCTTTCCTTTCTTCACTGAGTGATGCTGAAGACTTCCCCAATTACCCCTTCCTTCCTTCCTCCCTCCCTTCCTTCCTTCCTCCCTCCCTTCCTTCCTTCTTTCCTTCCTTCCTTCTTTCCTTCCTTCTTTCCTTCCCTCCCTCCCTCCCT